TCCCTCAAATGAACAAACAGAGCATTGGATTCCTGGCCTGTCCTAACACTGTATTTGTGTTGTTTAATTCTAGTTGCAAGATCTTTACCTGTCTGGCCTAAGTAAAACATATTACATTCCTTGCAAGGAACTTTATAAATGCAACCAATTGTGTTGTTGGGGGAGTTCTTGATTAACATTTGTTTAACAGTGCATGAGTTTTTAAATGCCACATTGACGTTCCAGGTTTTTAGCTGTGCAGGAATGTGTGAGAAATTTTTGTGAAATGGTAATATTAAGATATTCTTATGGTCATGGGTGGGCTTGGGGTCAGTTCTATAAAAAGTTTTCTTAGTAATGTTTAAGCATTTGTCTATGAAAGATCTAGGGTATTTAAGGTTTGAGCCAATATTATATACATATTTGTATTCCTCATCGATGAATTCCGGACTGCAAATTCTCAAGGCACGTAAAAACATTGTTGAAAATACTGACTGTTTGACTTTATTATGGTGGGCAGAATAATAATGAATGTATGAACACACATTAGTTGGTTTTCTATAAATACTGAACTTAAAAGTGTTACCTATTCTGTGTATCAGACAGTCTAGGAATGGCAATTTACAGTCTTGCTCTAATTCCACAGTGAATTTGATCGAGGGGGCTAAGTTGTTAAGTTGTGGCAGGAAAGCTTTTAGGTCCTCATTACATGGCCAGAGACATAATACATCATCAACATATCTAAACCAGACTGCTGAGGGTGGTAAAATATTACTTAATAGTTTCTTTTCAAAGAATTCCATATATAGGTTGCTTAATACAGGTGAGAGTGGATTACCCATTGCCATACCAAATTTTTGAGCATAATATTCCCCATTGAATTCGAATTTGCAATCCTTAATACATAGTTTGATGAGTTCGATGAAGTCGTCTTTCGAGACGGGCAGTGAAATGTTATCCAGGGAATCTATCAGCATATACCTATACGTATATATATATATATATATATATATATATATATATATATATATATATATATATATATATATATATATATATATATATATATATATATATATATATATATATATATACATACATACTGTACATCTTCTAACTCTAATTATTGCTCTTACTCCAGAAGACAGATATATTACCAAGTTTTTAAAAGAAGCATATCGAAATCTCAGAGCAAGACTTTACAGTTATCGAGATTTGCAATGCTCCAATATTCTAAGGAACTGCAAAGAATCAGTTTTCGTAGCTCATGCATTTATTGGTTGCAACACGACGTTCTCATTTTACGGATTTGGAAAAATGAAAACGGTCAACCTCCTCAACAAAGAAGACTCTCTGCAAGATGTGATATTGGTTTTCAACAATCCTCAATCGACTCATGATGAAGTTGCAGCCGCCGGAGAGTGTTTCATGCTCGCTCTGTATAAAGTTCCACACACTAAAACAAATCTCAATCATTACAGATTTCTTTCTTTTAACAATTCTGGCAGTCACTCAAATAAGGTTGTGTTCTTATCAGGTCTTCCGTCCACTTCTGCAGCAGCTAGGCAACATTGTTATCGTGTCCTTCACCAAGTTCAAATTTGGCGAGGAGAAACACCACAGCACTTAGTTGTGGGGCTGGAAAAATTTTTTCAATTCTCTGTCACCTGTCTACACAATTGAGGCACTAGCCCCCAAAAATTTCTTGAAACTTATTTCATGTGGCTGCACATTAGGGTGTGGGAAGCAGTGTGGTTGTGCAAAATCTGGTTTACACTGTTCTATAATGTGCACTACTTGCCATGGTCAAAGGTGCCTGAATTCTGAAACTGTAGATGATCCCAGTGATGACCTTATTGTGACTGATAAAGAGTACTTAATGGTCTCATCTTAAACAAGAAAATTGTGGAATAGGCCTACTGGGGAAACCACTAAAAAAAAATGCACCAAAAATTCTAACTCAAAGGTGGTGTGGAAATGACTTTGCATTACATATGCTAATTTCTACTGAACGAGTCAGAAAACCTTTGAAAGCTGCTTCAAGAAAATGTTTTCACTTAAACCAATAGTAAATTTTCCGCTCCACAGTTTCAACAGTAATATCTCCATTAGCCGGAATCCCTCTTAACCAGAACTCTCCGATAGCCGGAATTGAAATTTTCTCGGAAAATCGTTCCCAATGGTAATGATTTTCTGGGGGGTACATTTTATGAAAAATTCCGGGGATGGGGGATTTTTTCCGGCTTTGAGAGAGTCGTCTCGTTACCTGGAAATCTCTCATTCCCAGAAGTGCTTTGCACCAATTGTTCCAGCTACCGTATATCTCGGCCTACAAGACGGAATTTGAACAAAAAAAAAATCAGCCCAAAGTTAGGGGGTCGTCTTAAGCACCAGAGATAAAATTCTTACCTCTTAAATTTTGCGGTTTAGCGTGTCAAGAGTGGTGATGGAAACATGGTAAACCACTCACAAGGTCCTACCATTAATTATTTTATACTGAAACTTACATTTGGGAAGCTGGATTAAAATGAAGATTACCGGTATATTAAAATAATAAAAATGTATTATAAACCTGTCTAACATACCGTAAAAGAACAATATACCCCGGTAATAAACACAGCTGCTATCATCACCCCCCCCCCCATTTGCCAGTGACGAGAAAGGGAAAGCGACCTTGACAGTGACCGCCTGTGGCTATTTTTAGCCGTCCTTGTGTTCGGAGGTGGTCAGTAATGCATATCTGTATATTTACTGATCATAATACTTATCTCCTATAAATAATTAATTTAAAATTAATTTTTTTACAAAGAATATTCAGTAAATGACTGCGTTAATTCTTGAAACTACCGACAGTGGTAAATTTAGGATGAGAATGATGAACAGAAGTCACGTCATGGATTCGGAGTTTGGTCCTTAATGATCATAAATGTCTGGTCAACTTCACCTACCAGGTATAATGGTAGCCTTCCTTTTTCGCGAAACAAGTATATAATTAAAGAAAATACTTGCAGTGTGTTTAATGTATTACAATATATTATAGCTAAATAAATAAACAAATAAATCGGCAAATCTATTTCAAGTAAATGGAAATATTTTACTCACACCAACATTAGTTCCAGTTAAATAACTGACGCTTAAGTGAGTCACTAGTGTATACCAGCGGGTAAAATTTGATGCCAATACTTGAAGTGAATTGGCATTATTTTAAATAACCAACCAACCATAAATAAATGGAAAAAAGATCAAAGGTGAAACATTATATTGTATGTATGTTGTGTTGTCAAAGGAAGAGAAACAATTGAAACTCAGCAATTGTGTGTAAATGAGGCAGTAAGATAAATCAGCAACCTAAGACTTGGTCACAATTTTCGTGATGCCATATGGAAGTAGGATCTACCATTAGACAATACTGTACATTATGCTTCCAATATCTTCCCAGGCGGTAGTATCTCCCTGTTTGGTAGCTGCCTAAAACTTTTAGTAATATTACTTTGATACAACATGATAAATTAGACAAACAATGAAAATAAACAAACAAAAGTTATTTACCAAGACCTTCTCTCTCAGAACAGAGGGTAAGAGATGGAGGGGAGATAAGACGGCTATTTATAACCTGTCTTTGTGTAGGAAGTCGACCACACTAGAAATAATTCATTTAAAATTTATATTTTTTACATAGAATATTCAGTACATGACTGCAATTATAAAATATTGTGAATATATATATATATATATATATATATATATATATATATATATATATATATATATATATATATATATATATATATATATATATATATATATATATATATATATGTATATATATATTTGTGTAATAAATGTATGTAGTAAGTATGTACAGTAATCTTTTTCACTCAAATCCTAATGAAACACTATTGAATTAGAATACTGTAGCTCGCTGAAGCAAGCTTATAAATTAAAGAAAATACTTCCAGTGTGTTTAATATATTACAGTATGATATAAATAAACAAATAAATCGGTAAATCCATTTTAAGTAAATGAAACAATTGTATTCGACACCGACATTAGTTCAAGTTAAATAACAAACTTTTAAGTGAGTCACTAGTGTTTACACTACACCAACCAGTAAAATTTGATGCCATTACTTGAAGTGAATTGGCTTTATTTTAAAAAACCAAGGATGTGTAAACAGCACTGGTCAATGGGATGGTTGGTAAAGGACTACTGGGTCAGTAAGCTCCCAATGGTAAGTGTCACATTTGGGGTACCGGTCTTATACAGCGAATAGGGCTCAAAAGCTACTTTTTAAATGGAAATTTTGGGGGCCGTCTTATACACCCCGTCGCCTTGTAGGCCGAGATATACGGTAATGGAGATATCACTTGTATATGCATTTTAAAGAAAATTAAGGCGTCTCTGAGTTATTTGCCGAAAACTGAGTGCCAGAAACAAATTTCTCGCTGCATGCTAAAAGTCCCCTCCCACTTCAGACGTGTATTCCACAAAAATTTTAACATCTACGGGAAAAATGCCTATATATACAATCTTGTTCACAATTTTATTTCCAAAAATTTTGCCTATACTGTATGCAGTTTTATCATCTGATGCACCACTTAGTACAAAACTACAAAAAAGTAATCACAACCCCCCCTTGGGGGTAAAAAAAAAGGGGGATGCTGCACTCTGATGGAGGGGAACTCTTTTGATCTTTATTCTGTAGCCTTCTGGATTATGTATGCAAATCTTTTTATCAGTTTTTCCACCAAAAATCCTAATTTGACTGGACTATGTCGGGTAAGTTACATTCAGAATGTGGGTACCTTAAAAGCTGTGAGAGTCAGAAAACTGTAAGGACATATACAAACTTTCCTACTTACCATTAGATGGAGATACAACAGAGAAAGTTCTTCATACTTCCCTTATTTGTTCCTGTGGACAATTGAGACTAAAAGAGGGAAAAAAAAGTGGCATGTGGATAACAGACTAAATAGTGAAAAAGAATTAATATATCAATGGTTCAAACATGTGACCTCACCACTGCTGTGATAGGGATTGGAACACCAAAGAACTTAGGTGAACACACTCCCCAGTCTCCAACAGAATTACGTAGCTCTGGGAAAATGCTCCTTGGCATTTTCAGTAGATTTAAGAAGAATATGTTCCAATCCTCAATGAATGGATCATATAAGGCTGTTCCACTGGCATTGGAGTAATCGGTAGCATGTATCTGAAAGAAGAGAGTAGACCTACTTACTCCTCTGGAAATATTCAGAAAGAAATTACCAAACACTGAAATAAGCACTGCAGATTAGCAGTACCTGGCAACCAGGGCATGCTCAAAAAACTGATTTCACAACTGGTGGACATGTTTATAATTTTTGACAGGAAAATAACCAGACAAGAATATGTCAGTCACTGTGTGACCTGTACACGTTTAATCAGTGAAGTCCGTCAACCAGCAATGTGATGGTGGGGGGCTGTGTGTCATGCCTGAATGACGCCATATCATGATGTCACAGATGAGTTGAAACCTGACATTTCTGTTCCCACAATGACCTGAGCTAAGAAGGCCTAAGTGTGTGCTACAGCCTTAGTGACATCACAGATAATCCATTCTATTTCTAATAGTCTATTTTCACAATAACCAGACCTGCAAATCTGTATAAAAGCTCCCACTGATTGCGGTGTCAGCAGTTATGTGTCACAAATTGAAGTGAAAAAAGAAGCAAGAAAATTGACAAAGTTCTTCATTCATTCCTGATAAAGAAGGGTCAGGATAAAAGACATTTTGCCAGACAAAAGTGACCTATGAGTTGATACACACAATAAATTTGAATGCTTTAAAAATTTTATTTAACTTATTCCACAAAAAAAAAATTGCAAGCAAATTTCCTTCAAAATATGAGGAAAAAAAAAAGGTAAATTTCAAAAGTCACTTGCCAGGGGCAAGGAAATGTTTCACATAATTTGTGCTGCCTGACAGAAACACAAAGTTAACCAATGGGAATCATTTTAGGAGGTGTCCAAATAAAACTAGCAGTGGGACAATTTTCAAAAATGGCACTTAAACCGTTTTGTATGAGCTCGCCTATGAGGTGAATAAAATTATCTAGTGGTTACCCAAATAAAATATTAAAGGTGGTGGACCCATAATGAATGGGTTACGGTAATATACTAAATCAATGTTTTCAATTTTTTTTAATGTGCTAGGTACTTAATTACAGTAGTTAGGTACTAATTTACAGTAGTTAGATACAGCCCAACCCTGTAAGCAAACGTTCCATTGACCGATGGTTCACATAACCGACAATTATATAATAGGGAAATACAGAGTTGTAAAAAGTACCGGACTTTGTTACTTTAGTAAAAGTATTGCTACACTGGCAAAATGTTCCTCAAATAAAAGTAAAAGTATCCAAAGTTCAATGTACTCAAGTAGAAGTAAAAAAGTATCTAATTCATAAAGTACTCAAGTACTGAAAGTAAAAAGTAACAACAAAATAATTGTCTCAAATATTAAAATAAATCAACAGTAAATTATATAAAACTAGTTAACTAAAGATAAAAAAAACTCAGCATTAAACATGTTTATCTGCTAATCTTTCTATTGAGATTAATCAATAACTGATTCTCGAAATTATCGCTGTCCAATCAGGATCTTTTAGGCCTAAATATAAGCCAAGCACGACCTAACAAAAGAGAGTACATTCAGCCGCTCTTCTCCCTACAATCTGTTGCAGTGATAGTGAAGGGGGGATGAAAATATATCCATCCAATACTATGATCACTTTCTTCCTTATCCACACAAGTACAGTGATATCCCCGTTAGCCGGAACAATTGGTGCAGAGCACTTCCGGGGATGAGAGATTTCCGGCTAACAAGACAACTTTCAGAAACCCGGAAAAATTCCTTATCCCCGGAATATTTTCCGGTTACTGGGAAAGGACTCTGAGTGTCTAAAATAGAAATCTTACACACACAGACACTATCCAACTTCCCCAGAATGTTTCTGGGTGCTGGGGATGTTTTCCTGGAGTCTAAACTACCGGAATCCGTAAATGCAGTTCTAATTAAGTTAGAAACTCCATTTCTTTACTATAATAATCCAGAATAGTTTATCTAAAAGTTTGGTTAAATAAAAATATTTGAAAATTTAAAATTTAAATGATATGGACATTAATGAAGTTGTGTGTTACAGCAAAGACTGGTATTTTCCACTCCCATTGAGCTGTGGGAGATGAGTGGGTCTCATATTACTGACCTTCTGATGGAATGTCAGGTCACCCTTTCTTGGCCGGGGTATTAGTGGGTCTCATGACCTGAAAATGTCTTGAATAAACACAAAACCTAAAGTATTTTTCGGGAGACTGTGATAAGTATAAGTATAAATGTGCAAAGTTGTATCCCTTCAACATTACATTACATAACAGTTTAAAATATGGAGTGAGAAAGCAGAAAGGTGTGAGTGATTAGAGAGATGGAGTGGAAATAAGTGTTGCCAAGTGCTCCTCAACAGCTGATATTTAACTTGCTACCATGCAGTCACACACACACACACAAATTTGTCACACAATAAGACCTTCACTCCTAATGTCTGCTGTCTTAATGCCCTCTTTAGGGATGTGTGAGTGATGTTGGAGTGCATGTTGGGGAGGGTGTGATGTTGGGGAAGGTGTGATGTTGGGGTGTGTGGGGAGGGTGTGATGATGGGGTGAGTGTGTGGGGTGAGTGTGTGGGGTGAGTGTGTGGGGTGAGTGTGTGGGGTGAGTGTGATGATGGGGTGAGTGTGTGGGGGAGGGTGTGATGATGGGGTAGTGTGTGGGGAGGGTGTGATGATGGGGTGAGTGTGTGGGGAGGGTATGATGGGGTGGTCGTGAGGGTGTGATGATGGGGTGAGTGTGTGTGGGAGGTGTGATGATGGGGTGAGTGTGTGGGGAGGGTGTGATGGGGGTGATGATGGGGAGGTGTGATGTTGGGGAGGGTGTGATGTTGGGGAGGTGTGATGTTGGGAGGGTGTGATGTTGGGGGAGGGTGTGATGTTAGGGAGGTGTGATGTTGGGAGGTGTGATGTTGGGGAGGTGTGATGTTGGGGAGGTGTGATGTTGGAAGGTGTGATGTTGGGGTGTGTGTGTGTGTGGGGGAGGGTATGATGTTGGGGTGTGTGTGGGGGGAGGGGTGTGTGTGTGTGTGTGGGGGAGGGTGTGGTGGTGTGTTTGTGGTGTGGGGGTGAGGGGGGGGTCGTACGTGGTCAGTTCCCCTTCCTCTCTCAAGCGTAGCTTAATTGTATTAGGGAGATGAATTTGATACCATAATGATCCTAAATAAATTCTCTATGAAACGTTTCCAATAAGATATCCTTAAACGAAACATTTCTAATGATATAGTAATGGGAATTCCATTCTTTTATAAAAAAAACAATATATATATATATATATATATATATATATATATATATATATATATATATATATATATATATATATATATATATATATATATATATATATATATATATATATATATATATATACTGTATATATACAGTGGTCCCTCGGTTAACGAGCGCCTCGGTTAACGAGATTTTGGTTAACGAGTTACCTCCCATAAGATTCTTAAATTCGGTTAACGAGCAACCCCTCAGTTAACGAGTTTCTTACGAGCCGACCTCAACAAGTTTTGGCTTGCACTGGGCGGTCAACCAGCTGTAGTATTAGTCCGCCAATACATTAATCGGTTCTAGGGCTTAAATTTCTTTCTATTTTAGTAAATATCAAGAAGTTTATACTATTCAATAATTTTAAAAGTTTAATATTAAATTTTTTAGTCATTTTAACAATTATTGAACATATTTGAAGATAAAGTGACTAATTTAATGCGCGGCATCCAGCCTCTTAACACAGCATACAGGCGTTAGTCTCCCTCTGTTTTCACTGGAGGTAACATCTTGCTTGAGACTCTCTTCAACTAAACGCTTTTTTTCTGTGTTTCCAAGCAAATTATTGGTCATTTTGAAATATATTTTACATATTGACAATATATAATGCAGTGCAGTGTTGATTTAAAGAATATAATCTTGAATTACACCAAGAGAACTAAAATTTTATGGGTGAAATGGCGCCATGGGGTTGACTTCTCTTCCACCCCAATGTCTTCTCTTCTTCCTTCTCCTCCACCCCCATTCTAAATCCCATCATCATCATCATCATCCAGGAGCCTTCTACATACACACCTCAAAGTAAGTGAACCTTTCTGCCATTTTTGTTGAATTTAGGAAATTTTCGGTGAGCTGGAACCAATTACCCAAAAACCCATTGAAACAATGGTTTCGGTTAACTAACTTTTCGGCTAACGAACGACCTTCTGGAACGGATTGAGTTCATTAACCGAGGGGTCACTGTATGTTTACACATGTGCTCACTTACATATGTGATCTCACTTTTTTTTTTACCCTTAATTGTTAGCTACTTTCATTGTTCCATTTATTAACATTAAATAACATTACTTAAAACAACCATACTAATTTTACTATAGCTACAACCAGGGTCTTATTATCTTCAGTTTTATATGTAGAACCAGTCAGTCACAGGTTTTGTAAACAACAAAAACAATGACGTCTTGTCTCCTCATGTGTTTTAATATTCTTAGTATTATTAATGAATTGTATTGCTCAATTTGCACACATAAACAATAATTCAATCAAAAAGAAATTCAGAAACATTAATTAAAATATATAAGAACAGTAAATAAGTGTTGCTTTCATATTCTTATGTAGAGTAATGACGATATGTTTACACATGTGCGCACTTACATACGCGATCTCACTTTTTTTTACCCTTAATTGTTAGCAACTTCCATTGTTCCATTTATTAACATTAAATAAGATTACTGAAAACAACCATATTAATTTTTCTACATTAATTTTAATACAGCTACAATGGAGGGCTTATTTTCTTCAGTTTTATAATTGTGTAGAACCAATCAGTCACTGGTTTTGCAAAAAACGAGTTGTTTTTTTACTTTTACTTTGTTTTTAAATAAAGATTTTTTGTTTTATATAAACGTTGATATACATGTTTACATTTGCTTACCTTCTACTGTTGGAAAATATTTCCCGTCGTCATACCGACAAAAACAAGAGAAAGAATGTAAACACTACAGCCCCTAAGATGTGGAGGTGACCAGGTGTATAAAATGAGTGCTGTATTAAAGATTTCACCTTCTTATCA